TGAAGGAGATGGCAGATGGCCAGGATGGAGCATGTGGTGTGTGGGCCTGTGTTTGGGGATGGGAAGGGGACAGTATATGGAGGGGCCACAAGGGACAAGGATTTGTTGTTAGGGCTTAGGGGTGTTAGTATGAAGTCTGGGGCAAGCCCAGTAACAGTGAACACAGGCTAAAAGTGTCAGGAGAGTTATGTGGCCACCGCATGAGAAGCATCCTGGGGAAGGGACACGTAGGCCCCCAACAGGGAGTGTGGCTGTGGCCGTGAATTGGAGCAACATCTGCCTTTTTGTGCCTCGCCTGGCCAGCCAGCCATATGACCTCATTTCCAAAAGGGATAGAGGGCCTGTGACAAGGGCCTGCTGGTCCTTTACTGCTGCAGCAGGCCTGTGTGTGTGAGAGGCAGCAGCTGGTCCTGCTTGTTCTCTGTCCTTGGGGAGAGTGGCTTTCCCTTTTCGTACTTGCAAGTGGGTGGCTTTGGAAGGTGGATGAATGGTGTTACCTGCCCCATGGCCAGGATGGCTCTGAACCCTGAAATGGACTGGTGCTTCTTACATGTCTCCTGACACCTCAGTGGCTGTGGCCTCTGTACTAGAGGTTCGAACTCTTGCTCAGGGGCTCAGTGTCCCATCAATTCCCTTTTTGCACAATTGTGCCCCCTTATCAGGTCGGGGCTGATCCTGTGGCTCTGCAGCTGTGAGTGCTTGCCTTCTTTCAGGGTCCTTTCAGCCAAAACTTGCTTTTTGCTGTCTAATGTGTTCTGTTCCAGTCTTAGCAAGAACAATAAACCCATCTTGGTGGGAGTGGGGGAGGCCTGTGTTCCCTCCTTCCCTTGGCTTTCAGTTGGACCCTGGCTGCAGCCCAGTCCCTGCAGTTTTGGGCTGTGGTCACAGTCCCGTGGCTTCCAATTCTCTGGAAAGAATGGCACCTTGGAAGAGAGCTTTTGGCCTGGTGTTTGCTAATTGGGTCTATGGCTGCTGCCACTTCATTCATTCATGACACCGGCGTCCTCGGGATCGGGTCTTTCAGACACTATGAAACTGGTACTTAGGGCTTCAGTGAGAGCTATGGCACCTGCTATTAGACCTCAAAATAGTCTCGGCTGGGGCTGGAACGGCATTCGCCTCTGAAATAAACCAGTGGGCTGGAGCCCATTCTGTGCCCGCAGCTGAGTTTGTGTCACAATTCAGCTGCACATGGAACAAAAGGACCTCTCCCCGCGAGTCCGCACAGACCGTGAAAGACCTTGCAGCTGAAGCCAGGCTTGTTCAGCAGCAGATGTCACAGCTTGGCCATGGTTGGAACTGTCACTTTCCTGTCATCCCATGTGTTGGAGGCCTCTGAGGCCCCCAGTGTCTTCCACTTTGTAGTTGTGAAGTGTGAATGTCATGTTCGCTGGACAGGCTCTGGTATTTTTAGGCCGCAGTGCCACTTGGCAGGACTCCTGGTAGTTAAAAGCACTTTGCTAATCCCCAGAGCACCCAGGAAGCATCTCTGAGTAGCTTTAACCACACAGGGCAGGAGATTGCACAAATACTCTTCTGCGCCTGACCGCCCCTGGGTCTTTGGTCTAGTTTTGGGGACGAGGCTGCGGCTGTGAATGAGTTCCCTGTGACTCCAAAGCTTTGGAAGGCCCGCTTTCATGCCCATTTGGAGGGTTTTCCTCCATGCCTATGTTAAGTTTTCTTAGGTTTTTTTTTTTTTTTTTTTTTTGTATGAGCATTTTGCCTACGTCTTTTTTTTTTAAAAAAAATATTATTTTTATTTTATGAGTATGCCTATATTGCCTGCATGTAGGTAAATGCACCTGTGTCATGCAGTGCCTGCGGAGGACAGAAGAGGCTGTCGGATCCCCTGGAACTGGAGGTATTGACAGTTGTTAGCTGCCATGTGGGTGCTGGGATTCGAACCCGGGTCTTCTGCAAGAACAGCCAGTGTTCTTAACTGCTGAGCCATCTCTCCAGGCCCTTGCCTACATGTCTTTAAATGTACCACATACATGCCATGTTTGTGTTGGCTAGAAGAGGACATCAGATTCCCTAGAATTAGAGTTAGGGATAGTTACTAGCTGCTGTGTGGATGCTGGGAACCGAACCTGGATCCTCTGGAAGAGCAGCCAATGCTTTTACACTGAGCTATCTCTCCAGCCAAAATTTTCTTAGTTTTTATTTATACTTATACATACATGTCCCATGATTTCTCAGTTTACAGAGTTCACACAATGCACAGAAGTTATAGACCCTTTGACTGTCCCTACCAGTTTGGGCTCTGACAGGAGGTAAGGAGATCTGTGGTAAACGGGGTTACTCACCACCTTCTGTTGGTTGTTATCTTGTGTTCTCATGTGGCCAGGAGAGAGAAAGTTTCTCCATGTTTGAAGGTCCTGATCCTCCTGTGAGGACCTCACTTCTGACAGTACCCAGCCTCAAGGCCCCTTACCTCCAGAAGTCCTGTGTTTAATGGAGTGATTCTAGTTGTGGGGATGGACTCTAGGGTCTTGGGCATGCTGGGCAAGTGCTCTGCCACTGAACTATCTCCTCAGCTGCTCCCTCAGGCATGTGTAGAGGACAGAGCTCTGTGCACCGCAGTGTATCAAATTGTTGGTTGGAGTAGCTCACTTGCACTCAGTGCTGACCAGCGCCCTGTCCACAAGGAGTGTAGAGGTTTTTTGAATGAGTGACTTGGCCTTGTTCTTGAGTCAGCATCTTTTCTCTGAGTGCCTCTGATGCTGACACTTGAAGCCTGAGAAGCAGTGTGAGAACACGTGGGCACCCAGCAGTGCTGTCTTTGCAGTTTGGTGCAACCATCTCTTCCCTGCAAGTACTGAGTTAGTGTCTGCCTTGCTGGTGTTGCAGGAATCACAGCCTCTGTGGTTCTGTCAGCTACTGGGTAACACCATGGGAATTCCCACATGGGTTGGGGCCTTGAGAACTGCTGACAGCTCACACGGCATTGCCTCGCACTAGCCTGCAGTGTGCCCCGTGCTCAGTGTGGTGATAGCTGATGAGGAAAGCAAACGTGTTCTCAGCCATACTGGAGGAAGCCCTTATTATACACCTTCCTGTGTGTCTGGGAATACTCAGGTTGCACTTAAATCTTCATGAAATTTTGAGTTTGGGTCCTGCTGTGTGCCCCTAGATGGCCCCACCCACTTTGAGTCCATTTCCACTCATGCAGTCAGGCAGCATCCTTGGCTGTTTGCTCCTTGAAAGATGGAAAGATGGTAAAGATTAGGCCTGCTCTTCTAACACAGCTGCCTTGAAGAAGTTAGCAGAGGAGGTGAGACCTGTGAAGCCTCACCTCTGTGTCAGCCCTGGATGGGCTTGCTCAGTGCCATTCCTAGGCCTGGTGCCACAGTTATGGGGTGCTTCTGTTCTTAGGGGTGGACTGGCGGTAAGGGGTGTGTGTGTGTGTGTGTGTGTGTGTGTGTGTGTGTGTGTGTATCCACGCATTTTTGTATGCATGCATGTGGATGGAGGTCAAAGGTCAACCTTGAGTCCTGTTCCTTAGCTTCCATCTCCCTTGTTTTTTTATTTTTGGTCTTTTTGAGACAGGGTCTCCCTGTAGCCCCAGCTGTCCTGGAACTCACTATGTAGACCAGGCTGGCCTTGAACTCACAGAGATCCGCCTGCCTCTGCCTCCCGAGTGCTGGGATTAAAGGCGTGTACTACCATGCCGACTCTACCTTGTTTTAAAAAAAATATTCTACTTATTTTATTTTTTAAAATTTTATTTATTTTTATTTTATTTTATGTGGATGCCTGTATTGCCTGCATATGTAGGTAAGTGCACCCGTACCGTGCAATGCCTGCAGAGCTCAGAAGAGGCTGTCCGATCCCCTGGGACTGGAGTTACGGATAGTTGTTAGCTGCCATGTGGGTGCTGGGATTTGAACCCGGGTCTTCTGCAAGAACAACCAGTTTTCTTAACCACTGGGCCATCTCCCCAGCCCCTTTATTTTTATTTTTTAATATGTTTGAGACTATTGTCTACATGTATGTAAGTGTGCAGAGGGCAGAAGAAACATCAGATTCCTCTGGAATTGGAGTTGCAGATGGTTGTTAGCTACCATGTGGACGCTAAGAACTGAACCCAGGTCCTCTGAAAGAGCAGCCAGTGCTCTTAACCACTGAGCCATCTCTTCAGCCCCCAGCCTTGGTTTTGAGACAGGGTCTCTCATTGGCCTGGTTCTCACCAAGTAGGTGAGGCTAGGCTAGCTGGCCAGTGGGCCCCAGGTATATCCACCTCTCCACTGCTGGGATTACAAACAGGTGCCGTCACATTTGGCTTTTTTTTTTTTTTTAATTTTTTTTAATTTAACTTTTTTATTTTTTAAATTTTATGTGTATGTGTGTATTGCCTGCATATAGGTAAGTGCACCCATGTCGTGCAATGCTGGCGGAGGTCAGAAGAGGCTGCTGGATCCCCTGAGACTGGAGTTACAGACAGTTGTTAGCTGTCATATGTGTGCTGGGATTCAAACCCGGGTCTTCTGCAAGAACAGTCAGTGTTCTTAACCGCTGAGCCATCTCTCCAGCCCTGTTTTTTAATTTTCAAAAAATATTTTTAATTACATTTAGTTTATTTATTTACTGTATATGTGTGTAGGTACATGTTCATAGCACACTTGTGCAGTTGAATTCAGATCCTTAGGCTTGGCAGCAAGATCTGTTACTCACTGATCCCGTCTTGCTAGCTCAACACACCTGACTTTTTTTTTTTCAACCTGGATTCTGGAAATTGTACCTGCGTTCTCATGCTTGCTTACCAACTGAGCATCTCCATAATTCCAACGTTATTTTCAAAATAGTCTTCCAAGTTGTATAGGCAGTGGTGGGCTGTACTTGGACCCACTTGTGGGAGCTTGCTGCCCTGCACATGGGTTGCAGAACACTCATACTGATCTTTGAATGACCAGTGGTGGGCATGGCTTTTGGCTTTCTGTGTGCAGTTGTTGATGACTTCTGGGGATGCCTGGAACTGAGTGTGCTTCTTTATTCCTCAGGACTCCAGAAGACCTTTCCAGGTTTGTGGTTGAGCTGCAGCAGCGAGAGCTCACCCTGAAGGAGAAGAACAGTGCCATCACCAGCAGGTAGGCTGCCCAGGGGCCCTAGTAACATGTATGTTCTGGGCAGTTAGACTGTGTCTGTGCCTGCCCTCCTCTTGTGTTTATCTATTTTCCGTTACTGTTTCCAAGTACCCGAGGCTGGGTACTTTTTCAAGAACTTTTTTATTATGATTTTAAAAATATTTATTTATTTTATGTGGATGAGTGTTTTGCCTGCATGCATATAAGTGCACCCAATGTGTGCAATACCTGTGGAGGCTGTAAGAGGGCATTAGATTCTCTGGAATGGAGTTACAGATGGTTGTTAGCTGCCATGTGGGTGCTGAGAACCGAACCAGGGTCCTCTGCAAGAGCAGCCAGTGCTCTTAACCACTGAGTCATCTCTCCAGCACTAAAGACCCTTATTTTGAAGAACATCCTGGTGGTATCTGCTCAGCTTTGCTAAGGACAGCAGGTGGGGTGTGTGTGTGTGTGTGTGTGTGTGTGTGTGTGTGTGTCAGGGGGGATAGAGAAAACTGGAGGGAGTTGTTGGGTTTGTCTTCACAAGTCATTTTCCCTCCTTTATTTTGAACTAGGGTCTCACTGTGCAGGGTCTCACAGTGGGGACTCCAGGAGTTTCAGGGCTCTGCCAAGAACCAGAGCCAGAAATCAGATATGTGGTCTCTCTCTCCACTCTCCTGGGCTCTTGTCCATTTGCCTCTCTGCTGGCCACTCAGCTGAATTTGTGGCTTTGTGGCTACCCAAGTTAGTTTCAGGTCCAGAGGCAGCAAGGAGAGGCCCCTCTCTTAGGCCGTTTTTGGAATATGGCAGCATTTTCTGGGACCCCAGTCTAGCTATTCTCTTTCACTGGCCAAAGCTGGGCCATGTACCTGGAGGGACCAGTTAGTGACAGAGAAGGTGGGGTTGCCATGGTGAACCCAAGTCATCCCGGTGTGCTTGAGTTACCTGAGGTAAGGTGGAGTGGATTCTGCAGAGCTGGGGTGGGGGATGTGGGCAGCGACCATAGTGAGAGCCCCAGGTACACTGCATGAACTGATCCTGCGTGGGTGGGTCTGGAAGGAGAGCCCAGAGCTAGCCTGTTTGTCTAGATGATCTGACCATAGCTTTGTCCTGTGGAGACAGTGTTTTAATCATTTATTACTAGCCAGAAGGAAGGGTTTCTCATTTTGCAGGCTGATGTCGCTTTGAAAATTGGCTTCTAGAAGCATCTGGTTATGTTAGACATAATCACATCCATTTACTCGAGGAGGCTCACATAATAAAGATTGCCTTTTGCTTTCAAGGCCACTGTCAGATGAAAGGGTGTGAAAAGTGATTTGGAATTAAAGCTTTAACGTTTTGCCTGGCAATCCTCTTCATTTCCTTCTGACTATGAAACGGAATGAACCATTGGGAAGGAAACTTGTCTGCATTTCTCTCCCGCCCAACAGCTGCTGTGACCAGGCGCAGTGAGACCTGTGTGCCCAAGAGCTATGAGGAAGGGGGCTCCATCTGCATGTTTCCCAATATACCTATATTTGCCTTTGCTAGCATGGTTTGACCCAGCCGGTTATTTGTTGGGGGTTGGTTTGGGACTAGAGTCTCAGAGCAGGCAGGGTCAGGCAGGGGAGGGGGTCACCAGAACCCACACAGCTGTGACAGCCTATGGGCAGCCCATGGATGTGCCTGGTGATCTGCTCTCTGCTGCTGCATCTGAGGAGGAGGGGCATGGTTTCTGGTTCTGCCTCTGCTTTCCTCGGTAAGATGGATTATGTTTGGGTTTCTCTGTGCGCAGTCTGTGGCTGGCTTCAGGTGGGGTGTGTGACTCTTTGCTCTGTGTGGCTCCTGTGGCCTGGATGCAGGTTTTTGATAGATCTGGTTAACCACTGCCTGACTCAGCTGTGAATGGCTGTGTTGCTGGGATGGGGCAATTGGAGGGGCAGCAGGTGTTGAGTGCCAAGGCTTCTCATGGGCAGACTGGGGAACAGTAACAAGTGTTACTGTGAGGTCTAAACCAGCCTAGCGTCATACCTGGAAACTGAGATATCTTAGGTCATGGTGGCTGCTGCTGTGTGGGGTGGACAGGTACTGACCTGGATCCTCTCTCCATAGAGTCTCAGCATGCTTGGGAGATGAGCTGTGACCCCTATGTTCCCAGCCTGCTGTCTGCTGGGGCCTTTCTGTCTTTCCCTTCACTCCTGGGTTTTGGAAGGAGCCAGACCTCAGATTGGGAGAGGCTAGAAGGCACTGACCTTGGTGGGTGGGTAGATTATCCCAGCATGGGTGCCTCAGCCCTTGGCTCTGGGGCTTATATGACACATCTCCATTCTCCTCATGGGACCAGGAGACCCTGCAAGGTCAAATAGCTGATGTATTTCCACAGCCCCATTAATTAAGTTTTGTGTGCACGAGTGTTTTGTTTACATGTATATAAAGTACATCCCATACATGCAGTGTGGAGGTCAGAAAAGGGCTTCAGATCCCCTGGAACTGGAGTTACAGATAGTTGTTAGCTGCCATGTTAGTGCTGGGAACCGGACCCAGGTCCTCTGCAGGGTCCTCTGCAGGAGCAACCAGTGCTGTTAACTGCTGAGCAGTCTCCGTAGCTGGTCTATGGCCCTTTTAAAGATGGTGAGACAAATTCAGATGAAATGGGAAGGAGGGGATGTGCTAGAGGGTCAGGACAATGTGCCAGCCAGTGTCACAGAGAACTTCACAGGTAATATAGGCTTTCCACAGGGTAACGTGCTGCCTGGTGGTTCTCTGGTGCCTAGTCACCGAAGAGCAGACCCTCAGTTCCACCTCACTTGATCATCTGTCCACACCCATCCCCAAGGCTATGCGGGTCAGCAGCTTGGGCTTCCATCATGATCGTGCAGGTGTTCTCGCTCACTGTCGAGCCACTGATTGTGTTGTCTTCTGCAGGTAGCTATGAGCATCATTTCTGTGGCTTGTTGACAAGCTCTTTATTACTTGGTGGCTGGGAGCTTCACAGGCCACTGCTGGGGCTTTGTTGTTTCTTCTTCCTCTCGCCCCCCTCTAGTCCTCCTCTATTCCTCTTCCTCTTCTCATCCCCTCGGGTACTTCCTTCTTTCCTCTTCCTGCCTTCACTCCTTCCCCCCTTCCCTCTCCTCCTTTTCTCTCTCTTCTCCTCCCTCTTTTTTCTTCGTCCTCTTCCTCTTCTCATTTTTCCTGCTTCCCACCTCTCTGATCCTTATTGCTTTCCTTCTTCTTTCTCCTCCTCTTCCTCTTTTCTTCCTCTTTCTCCTAACCCTCTAGTCCTTCCTCTTCTCCCCTTCCTCCTCCCATTCCTCCTCTACATCTTCTTCTTCTTCCTCTTTTCCCTCTTCATCTGCTCTTCCTCTGCCCCCTTTTCTGCCCATGCTCCTCACTGCTCTGTTCCCTCCCTCCCTCCCCTGTCCCTTCTTTTCCCTTCCCCTGTTTCTTCCTCCCCCTTTGCCTCCTCTTCCCCTTACTCCTCCCTCTCTCTCCTCCCTCCCTCCCTGCCTCCCTTCCCGTTTCTTCCTTCTTGCTTTCTTTCCTCTTTTTCCTCTTCCTCTTCTTTCTCCTCTTCTTCCCCTCTTTATCTCTCCCTCCTTTACCCCCACTTCCCCATGCTGTTTTGAACAATGAAGACTTTGTGTAGTGTGGTCTTATGGTATCCATTTCTGAGGATTAATTTCTTGCAGTAGCAAGTAGATCTTCAGGAACTTGGCCTTGACAAGACAAATTTTGCCCACCACCATTTTATTACCCTGCTGTGAGCAACAGGGAGACACCTTCCACCTTGGGGGACCCCCACACAAGATGATGTAGTACCCCCCAAATCCAGTGTGTGAAACATGTCTGTCTTCCAGCACTAGCTGTCCCAGTGACTTGGTGTCTGTCACCCAGGAAACTGGAAACAGGAGAGCAAGCATTGAGTCCTACAGGTCTGTTAGAGCACTGAGATGCACTACAGAGCACTGAGGTGCCAGTGTAGTACTGCAGAGCACGTGAGTGTGTGCTGGGGCAGAACCTCGCACAGGCAGCAGAGTTTGGAAGGGGGGTTGGCTGCCTAGCCAGGCTCTGACCTGAACCCTCTGGGAGGTGCTGTGGATGAGGTGCTGTGGGCGAGGTGCAGCCAGTGGTCAGCATCATTGAAGGAGGCTGAGCTGCAGGCTCTAGGAAGATCAGATGACATCACACCTGAGTCATGAATCAGCCTAGAGCAGGGACGATGCTTCTCAACACTGATTGGGTGACCTTGACTCCTTGTTGCTGGCCAGGCACAGTCCTGAATCTTCATTGGACTGACATTGTTGATTTTTCTTTATTTGAGCAGGATCTTCTTATGTTTCCAAAGCTGGCCTGGAACAACGTGTGTAGTCCAGGCTGGCCTTGAACTCTTAATCCTCCTGCCTCTGTCTCTCTGGTGCTCCCCAGGTGGCTGAAGTTGTGTTGTTAACTTTTCTGGATGTTTTGAGTGGAAGCCTGGAGGTGGGACTTGGGCGCCTTCCTGATCATGGACTGTCTATCATTCTAGAGCTTTCCTGAGCTCTTCCTTATGGCAGAAGATGGGGCATGCCTTGTTTAGTAGGTGGGGAGGACCTGAACACTTGTGCTCACAGTGAATGTCTTCTGCTTAAATGGAGAGTGTGTCTCCAAGCTGCACTCATGATCCATGACGATGTATGGAGAGATGGAAAGTGTCTGTGTGCAAGGACTGTGCTGTCGGAGTTGGCATAGTTCCCAGCATGGTGAGCACAGGGGTGGCTTGCCTGCCCAGCAGGGCACAGAGAGGGAATCCTTAAGGCAGATGCTGCTCTGTGCACTCCTGTAGAGGGCGGCTGTGAGCCATCAGGCTTTGCCTGCTGTCTCTCCAACCTCACACGGCTGGCAGGCACTGTCCATCGCAGATGTGGAGGGGCTGTCAGGGCCTGCCTGCACACCCTCTTCATCCTCGGACAGGATCCGATTCCTGTGTCAGGAGCCTTGCCTTCTTCGCTGCACCAGCCTTGCTTTTGTCCTATGGGGCGGATAGCGTCTCTTCTGATTCTGTAGCT